ATAAGAGTATAAGCCATTTCTTAGCACAGAGTCACTTGACTTGAGTATTTTAGCATTTAATTAAATAGCCAGACGTTTTCAAGAATTTACCTACACTCTGGTCAAACTCCCTAAACAAACATTTTGCAAGTTATATATTTAAAATAATTGAAGATTAATCATCAAATAGACTTCTTACAGAAATAAGCTTCCCCCGATCAGTCGTTATAAAGATGATAAATACCAGATATTAATAAATAAAGAATTCTATAAATTATCCACACTTATCATTAAATTATTAGAGACTGGAATCTTATCAACTACTTTACATATTACACTAACACCTCTGTGATTTTACTACCAGCAAGCCATTCCATGTGCAAAATGGTTTCTAAACTAGGGTTCTATGGCTGTTGTACATGACTGGAGTGTTAAAGGTACACTATAGGCACCAATCTCAATGAGGTGGTCTGGGTGCCATGTGCCGTCCTGCAGGTATAACAATGTTTACTTTGCAGGGTTAACCTACTATAACATCCATTAGATGTGCATCAGTGAAATAGCAGAATGAGACTCTCAGGGAGACCATCTGATAGTGCCACTCATGCGTACTGGCCTCCCAATGCGGTCTTATGGGAAAGTATTGGATTGTCTGAAATCATCAACATTGATCTCAGCCAAAGAGGTGGAGCTTCACAAAGAAAACCAGCACTGCAAAAAAAAAAAAAAAAAAAAAAAAAGCCCAAGTAAAATACCTCTTTTAACCCTTTAAGGACACATGAAATGTGTGACATGTCATGATTCCCTTTTATTCCAGAAGTTTGGGCCTTAAGGGGGTTAACTCTGTCAGCACTGGCCAGTAACTTAAATATTGACCAAGGCGAAATATCATTAGGAATACAAATATGTATTCCCAACGCTATACTGTTCCTTTTAGGAGGAATGGATGATTTCTGGACATCATATTTTCTTTGTCATAAAATCCATTCATTCATTTCACCTTCACTCCAGTTTATTTCTACTTGGATCAATAGATGTGGGTATTAATTGCCAGCATCGAACAGGTTCTGATTGGCTACTGGATCTGACATTCCATTGTGCTTTATCTACATGCCCTTCCATTAACCCTGCACGACAGATTCTTAGGTTGGTCATAATTCAGAAGGAGTCAAACTGATGGAGGTTGCACACACACACACACAATTTATTATTATTTATAAAAGCACCAACAAATTCTGCAGCACTGTACAATAAGAGATATAGATATATATATATATATATATATCATACACACACACACACAGTATAAAACTAAGATTATATTTTTATTTCAGTAATTTTAAACGATTATCTATAAAAATTAAAAGTGGTCCTTTCTAAGCAGCCTGTTTCCTAGATAGCAAACAGAGTTCAATTTCCTCCTATTACTGAGGGCGTCATGCACAAACGATGATATTGTTTGTAAGACAATATGCCTACTCTTGTCACTTTGGTAGACTATATATAGAGGATTTGTCTAGCTTTGCATATAGATTATGATCAGCTTCTTTAGTCTTTACATTGTAATGTTATTTATTAATAGAGTCATTGCGCATTGCAGACCAAGTAGACTTGCAGTCACATGTAACACATTTAAAGGTCTAACACCGCAATGGATTTAAGGAATTGTGTCTTATATGCTGTAGCTGTGTCAAGGGTACATTCTAGAGATTTACATTAGGCATTTAGGACTTTTAGTCAAAACATTTTTAAACTAGAATACGTCCTTTGTGGTCCCTTCAGCTAATCATCGAACTACTACGTTTTATCCCAGAAGGTGGAACATCTTTAGAACATACTATGTTCTTGTGAACTTTTGGTTTCAAGAAATCTCTCAAATATAGAATAAAGTGAACAGAATTAACGTTTTTGGGGTATTTTGTAACCAGACTGCTTTGAACACAAGTACAATAGACTCTGGCACAATCTACCACAAATATAAAAAAACCAAAGAATGCTTGTGGACATTTAAACAATTGCTGCAAAAGACAGGAATTTGAAGGTTCTAGTAGAATGCACACTTGGCAGCAAACAGGAGAATTGCAATTTTCTTTAACCCTTATACAATGTACATCAAGTATTTGAAAGGCTAGCACACAATACAGTCCAACGAATAGGAAAGAAACAGTTAACCAATTGAATGAAACATGGTTTTAATCAGGTCTCAAGGAAAGTTACATGATATAGAAACTAACAATTCAGGAGCAGTCATCTCAAACGAACTAATCTTGTTTAATCTTCGTTAAAAGATGTTGAAATAATATTTATAATAATAACATGGAATATAATCTGAATAGATTGCAACCTAGTCCCCCGCCTCCCCATTTCTCATTTGAAGGACACGGCTTTGAAATGGCGTAGGACAAATCAATTGCACCTTACCTATGATAACTAGTGGGAGCGTAAGAGGCGGATCTCTTGGTAGGGTACTTTCTTCTGCTAAAGGCATTTTTTCTGGTTGCAAAATTACTGATGAAATCCTGGTTCAGTAAGTCACACTCTTCTTTCCAGGCTTAATGCTGCAAGGATCAAAATAGTTTTAGATTTTAAATTAAATTCAGATAACTTTGTCAGTCAGTGTACAAATGCAAGGACAGATACCTTGAATCTGGCGGGGAGGGAAGAGGAGGGGGGAGAAATATAGATATAACGTTAAAACAGATTTTTATTCCCACAGTAAATGTAGAGTTGTGTACAGTAGCGATGCAGATATTTTAAAGACTTTCCCTCAAAAACTGGCATGCCAACATAGGTGTTTACAGCACATAATTATGGTGTGCACCCATGGTGATGTAATTGTTCCTATAAAATAGGAACCTTAATGGAATATGACTTTATAAAGTGTTCCTTTTTATTCAAACTTAAAGGGTTACTCCAAGCATCATGATGCCAAAAGTACCCTCCTAGCCCTGTTTCCAATTAAAGGTCACCATCATGTTGCAATGATTTGCCCTGTTAGCTGGGTCCCCACCAGGTGTTGATGGTTCTCCCTGCTCTGGTTACATACATCTGGCTTCGGAAAAGTTGCTGAAGCTGGATGCTTCTACAGTCAAATTCCTTGGCTGAAATCATCAGCTGACCACTCTCAGCCAATTAATGTGTGTATAGGAATAATATACACAGCATTTACATTAGCCAGTCTGGAACTCTTGTTCCGTGTCCTGGCTAATGACGCCCCAATGTTACTGCTGGAGGTGATGTTAACCCCACTGCTGCTGGAGGTGTAAACTTCATATATGCAGTGTTTCAAAGTGAAACACTGTACATACAGACTCCAGGCACCATGACCACTTCAAATCATGAAGAGGTCATGGTGCCCTGAGTAACCCTTTAACAAAACACACACACACACACACACACATCCCCCCCTCCCCCTCTATTACCAAGAAAACTTTAATGAAAAAAAGATAATACACACAAAAAAAATGTTAACAGATATAATTAAGATTAAGAGGGTCCTGCTCAAACAAGCTTACAATTTGTGATGCATAATGCATTATTTTATTTCTGTTGGTTCTTTGATGGAGCCCCATTTTTTAGGTTCGAGGTCGCCTTTTCTTTTCTATTTGGTTGTACAGCGCTGAGCTTTGGGAGGCATAATTGCATATTACCTTATCAAGTACTTTCATCTATATTTTTCTTGAATACATTAAGTTCCAAGTTCAGCACAACTTCAAGCCTCATAGAAAAGCTGTAAAACAGAGTTTGCAAGGTCTGTATGAGAACATGTATTGAAAATGGATATAAAAGATGCAACAGTGTGCTCTTCAAAAACAGGAGGGGGAGAGGGGGAGAATTGGAGCAGGAGATATGTAATAAAGTATAATCCTCGCACAGAAGGATCCAAATGCCACTTCTCTAACCAAAATCTCAGTGGGCAACAAGAGTATTGCGCTAAACGTGCGGAATCTTAAAGCAGATAGGTTTGTGAGATAATAGAATGATAATCTCCCATGAACATGTGGTTTAAAGCAGTATGTCAATGTGCACAAGTTTGACAGCAATGAGTCAACTTCACAGGAAGTCAAAGCATGTGTTACACTCAGTAGCAGCAAGTGGAATATGTTGTACATCTATGGAGGAAAAAAAAAAAAGTTTGATTGAGTTGGGTCTCTAAAAAAAAAAAAAACAGTCATTTCAGTCACTTTCAGGGTCTAAATATACATAGAAGGAAAAACAGAATTCCCAGCTCGTGGCAAACATTCAGTACTCCATTAAGAAGGAAACTGGAGAAACGCCAAGATATTCTGATGAATAGACCCAAAGTGTATTATCGTAAACACGAGGAAACATACCCAAAGATCAAAATGAAGATTGTAAAGGGATATGTTAAAAGCCAAATTTTACATAACAGTATAAGTTAGCATTTGGAAGAGGAAATAAATAAGTAGAAATTGGCGCACTGGTCATTTAAAAAATTTAAATAAAAATGAGATAGATATTTATATACACATTTACACATCGTGTAAATCTAAGTTTGACAATGAACGTGGAATTCTGAATTCAAAAACTAGAAAAGGTAAAAGTATAAACATAATAAAAGTAATGCACCATTACAGTTGCATTTTTATAAACATTTTCGTAAAAAAAAAAAAAAAGATGTAAACAGTGCAGTGAATTGTTACACCATTTACTGAGGAATAGCCTTCAAAAAAAAACAAAAAAAACGGTCAAATGGAAGAATGTGGTTAAAGGTGTTGTAGTGAAGCATGATGGGATTGTTATGCATAGCAGCTGGAGGTAGGACATGTATCTGACCCGAACAGAAGCAAATTCATTGTGACAGAAAAATTGGACTTGATTGTGCTCTGATGAAAACTGGATAATTAGAAACCAATTAGAACAGGAGTTGAACTGTGGAAAGTGTATAATAAACGAGCAACGTAGTTACTAAAACCGGTGATCTAATTAACCTATTTGTACAATATCGGTCTATAGAGACAATTATTACGACATACACGTAAGAAAGAATATTAACCTTGAAATTGCTTAACCATATGTTAGTGTAAAAATTATATTTATCTTAACCAGATTAATTTCCACCTCTTCTGCATAAGGGAAGTTTTCCGCAAAAAGCCAAGAAAAAAAAAAATAAAAAAAAATTTAATAATAATAATAATAATAATAATAATAATAATAAATATATATATATATATATATATATATATATATATATATATATATATATATATATATATATATACACACACACACACACACACACACACGTGAAAACAGGGGCACTCGCTTGGATTTCCAAATATATTTCAAAAAATCATCACCACCTCTACATCAACATTTTGACCCTTCAGGGTCTTTATCAAGCTTGATAAAGACCCTGAAGGGTGGAAACGTTGATGTAGAGGTGTTGATTATTTTTTGAAATCTATTTGGAAAGCCAAGAGTGTGCTCGTGTTTTCACTTTTGTTTATACTATTTGCTGGGAAGCACCCGGGTAGATTTACTTTATGTGTTTTGGTTGGGGTTGAGTGCCAGAGTTAGGATAGATAGATATTTGATAGCCAATTTGAATGAGCCAACTTAATTTATATAACTAATAACATTTAGTATTGTTTTCATTATTTATTATAAAATCAGAAATGTGTAGAAATATGGCTTGCACATGAATACTGTATTAATCAAGAAATATTTATATTGCAGCGTTCATAATATTCACATACATTTTGAATGAATAAAAGTCGTGTTTTGATAAGAAGTTAGATGAATAAGAAGCTCTTCAACATCATGTATATTATGTAGGTTATAGAGCACCCTATCAAAATATTACCTGCTCATGCAACAGCATAGAGAATGAGAGGAAAGGGGATCTAGCTGCTAATTACTTACCACCACTCTCCATTCCTTATACATAGAATACAGGAAGGAAGGTATCCACCAATGTCCCCTGATAGGATCTTTAAAAAAAAAAAAAACTCCTAGGTAAGGGCCACCACGTCCAACCTCCACAAGTTATTCCAGTGACATTCACAAAGATAAATGAAAAAAAAAAAAACACCCACACATAAAAAGGTAAGGACAAGAACATAAATATTTTTTTCAGTTTGCTACATCTGCCCTTGTATTGGCACCTTCCAATATGCCGGAGGCCATTTTGTATCCTAGATGGATGGATGCCAATTCTATGCCCTTCTTGTCTATTACCCTGGAATTATCTAGATAAATAATAAAAAGGTATGTATTAAACTAATCTTTAGCTTACTTCCAACACTAGAAATCATGTAGTTATACAAATAAGGAATACATTGTTTAAACTCTGCGCAGAGCCCTTTGAAGTACAAAATTATTTAAATTTCTCCAGGAAATGTACAAAAACAAAGTGGGGAGCACCATTTAGTTTTAGGGATTGATAATTAGCCATTAATATAAAATAAAAACAGCCAGATATGTGTTTAATATATATATATCTATATCTATCACAAAACTATTAGAAAGCACTAACAGACGACAAACATCACAGAAATAAAATAGTCTCATAAGGTAGAAGAAAAGGTTATAAAATAAAGTGTGTCCATCACAGCATTTTTACCAAGCATCCTCTGTAAAGGTGACTACACCCTCCACCCCCCTTTAACTCACGCTGAAGCTTCATGAACTCAACTGTTTATCATCAAACCAAATAAAAAGGTATATAAACTTGTGTTTATAATAATGAAACTTCAGTCTTTTTAATTGACCCGGTCTGTATAGTGAAACTGTACTCAACTCTTATTGAGTCTAATATTTTATTTTGAATTATGGTTATAAATTCAGATCACTGAAAACCCCAATATTAGTATATTTTAAAGCTAGTTACATAATATATAGTTTTACAACAACATTTCCTGTCTGGCCCCAAAAGATCCCAGCAGCAATCAAAGTAATGAAGCAGCTCTCAATATTACTGGTGTCAAAGCCCTACATATGATTATTTCCTGAGCACACTGAACAGACTATTCACTTGAACCTTCTGTAAAAGGTCGTGTGAACACAGGGGGGAAAGAAAAAAAAAAAATACCAAACATTACACTATGTGTACATCTCAGCAGCAACAACCCTCACTTTCTGATGCAATAGACAAGATGCTGCACTTTCCATACATCAAGTGCTGAGCGGGAGATCAAAGCTCAACCATGACTTTTAGACTCAGACATTGGCCCTGCAGACAGCATGGGATTAACATTCATTAAAGGAAAAAAGCTTAAAAATTTGCACCCAAAGATTTATTTATATTGATATTAAAAGAAAGCTCTAATTGTGGCTAAATGATTCCGATTCATAGCTCATGATGTCTGGGCATTGCATAAATAATGCCTTGTGCAAGGCTCCCCACAGTGATGCTGCCCTGGAAGATGCATGTTTTATAATCCTCCATCATTAAAGAGGCGGTTTGATCACCATGGCATTTCAGCAGCGAGGGAGCCGGGAGAATGGATCCAACAGCGGATACAATGTGTCTCTCTCTGGAACACAGCGTGGAATCCCGAGAACCCTGAGCCAGCTATGTGATAGGCTCCTGGGCTCTCTTAAAGAGACATTTATTCATTTTGTAGCTTAGTGAGGGCAGGGATGAATTAAACCCACCGGACACCTGCTCCTCCAGGATGTGATCACTAACAAGGAGTGTGAGCTCTATGGATAGTGATGCCAGGCTCACTGAGTGATGAGTGCCCCCCCCCCGCCCTTTGCCCATTCATATATTTTCCTACTCACCCAGCAGACTGGCAAGTTCCACGATACGCGCAGCTCACGGTGCGGCAGTCAGGAGGCGGCTGGGCATGGTGTGTGGATGGAGCACAGTCTGCCGTGCAGAGCCTTCAGCCTCCTATAAAAGCAGGCAGCTTGGGCAAGACAGGGCTACCGGCGATTTAAAGCACTGAGCCAGGGGAGTGGAGCACACTGCACCGGCCTGTGATGTCTGTCATTGCTGGGAGGAGGAGTGCAGGCTTTGGAGAGTAAGGGAGGAGTCACAGGAGGCCGGAGATGGGGAACTCGCAAGATGCTGGGGAGGAGAGGAGGCTTAGGGGGCGTAGTGATGCTACCGACAGTGGTGGGATATTAGATCACGTTATTGCTGTGTCTGTGCTGGTTTATTAGATCATTTATTAGGAATATTTATATTATCCTGCTAAACACTGATCATAACCACTTCTTAGCAATGTGACAAAGAAATTACTGATGAATTAAAAATATCAATAAAATTCAATGTATATTATAGATAAACCTGCAGCCTGGCTGGCTGAGCATGATGGACAATGAATTCACAGCACTTGGGTTTCAGCTTTTACTAGTTCCTGTCTTACAGATGCATTTTATATATCCATACATTTGTTGCAGTGTGGATTTTATACTTTACAGTTAGCTATGTTGGGTGTTTAAAAAAAATAATAATAATTTTATAGTCTTTATTATTATTATTATTTTAAATAATGCCCTTCTACCCTACCCCAGCCTGCACTGGTTTTTCTTGCAGCAGAGGTTTTGAATATTTTTACATATTTTTTTTATGCTTATATATTAATTATATAGAATGTTATTAACAATGTGTCCGCTCCAGCCTGGAGTGTAATGCAACCCTAGTTAAAATTTTCAGGGCAAAGTATTTCCTAATGCGGTTATATTCCTATTATTAACCAGTAAATACCTGCTTTACTGAGTCATTTATACCGTCCGTGCTCTATTTTATGTTCATCAATTCATAAATTTTGCGTTTTGTCCACCTTTTAAGCAACATCTCTTTTATGTAAAATTATCAGTATACCTATAAATATTCATCACCAGAGCCACATTAAGACTGTCCACTGCCCTAGAGAGGAGGGCGTAATGTCCGCACCCCTAGATCCCTGGGCTATGTTCCGTTAGTGGGGGTCGCTGAGTGTGTGGTGTTTGAATTTTGTGACTGGTTGAGTGTTGTGTGTGTGTGTGTAGTGGAAGGAGTAGTGGAGAAAGACAAAAGCTGTATGTGTGTGTGAGCATTGAACGGGATATAGGCCTATTTAAGCTACCTTAGCTCACATTGTAAAATATTAATGAGTACATTCTCACAAAAAAAACAACTATTCAATAAGGTACATACATTAAAAATGTGTTTTGTATAGTTCAGTCTTTGCACTGATTAAGTTTGCATCTTCTTGTTGAAATCCTATACAGAGAAGATAACCAACTGGGTCAAAATATGTTTTGTTTTATCTTTCTTAAACCGTATAACACATACTTTTCATATCTACACCAGCATGACTGAGAGAATTCATTACACTGTCACCCCCCTCTAGATTATCTGAAATACATTTTTCCCTCAAACTCCTCAATTCCTACCCCCATAGGCAATCTCTCTACCCAGGACGGCCTCATCTCCTGGTCCTTGACACCATAGATGATGGAGTGAGACTTAATAATGCAGCCAGTGAGATGGTGGCTGAGTTCAAAGAACACCCTCAATCAAAGTTGAGGACATACTCAATGGTCCAACCCTTCCTTTCACTGGATGTGTTGTGTCTGAACGATTAATAATCAAATAGATGGACATTAGTGACTTCTGACTGCTCTTTCTCCAGTCCCTGGAAGGGTGGCATAGGGGCTTAACCTTAATTAATTTAGAAGGCCAACTAGACTGGGTTCCAGTTTGGACTCTGTTTAGGGAAATACGGTGGATATTAGATCTAATGTAATGTAGATTTATGAAACTAATCATCTGGATTGCCCCAATATATTTCAAATTATATTCACCGATATTGTCTTGGCACAGATTTTGAATTTAGGGAATTACCCTGTCGATTTTAGAGTAAAACTACTTAGGAATTGGTAGCTTTCTGCTTACTTCTTGGGGAAGCCAATAACTATGATGAGCTTATTCACTAAATCAGAAAGAGCAGGGAAATGACAAGGGAAGTGCATTTTTTTTGTTGTTGAAAAAAATCCAAATTTTTCACTAAAGCTAGGATGATCTGCAATTTTACAGCATGATATGAGGCTTCAGAGCTGCTATTTTAACACTAAGTCAACAGGTAAAAAATATTAAAGAAGAAGGACGGAAATAGAAAGTACGAAATACATACTCCTCCTACTCTGGCAGCTTGATCAAACTCAGATACTGCAGTCCACCAGGAAATATCTCAGGAGGCCAGCATTGAGAGTACAGACCAGCAGCCCACACCATGCCAGGCAATCAAAGGCCCAGTACATTTCCTACCTAATGTCACACTCACTAAAGTTTCCTTAGTGAAGTAAAATGAATAGGTCAATATTTTTCTTAGGTGACTGAACAAAGTGCTCTCTTAGGGAACAACAATGCTTCCTGTTAGCCAATCAAAAATAAATTCAATGTACACCCAAGTGTCAACATCTAACAAATAAATCTCAGATAAACTACCCAGGTATTTAATGAACCAGAATCACTGCATGATGATCATGCCTGGATAAGCCACAGGGCACAATGGATGAATGGAAAGACACAGGTCGAAATGTACAGCTGGCCGTACTGACAGAGTTGATTCTTGGATCTTATTTGCAGAACACAAAATATATCTACAAGTCAGCCTTTTATACTTCATAAAGCATGACCTTGATGAAGAAGTTTAGCTTCCATGTTTTCTGATGTACAAAGTACAAAACAGTACCTATATAATAGCTTTTCTGCCCACAAAGCACAAAGCATAGACATTATCTGAAAGTAAATGAGAAAAAAAAAAAACCTTTCAAATTAACAGATTTACTTACATGTTACCTGAAGTGCTACCTTGACCAAGGTGGCCCCGAAGGAACATATGTACATATGTTTAATCTACTACATTTTACTTTATATCTTGTGGTATTAAATTAACAGGGGAGATGTACAACATAGATACCAAACTAAAAACATAACATAAATATGTTCAACTGAGGTTGCACTAGTTGCGAAACAGATATTGAGTAACACTAATAACATCATCACAATATCCAAATGATTGAAACGGGAATAATACAAAATGTTCAGCTGGAGGTGTAAAAGGACACCACCAAGACATTGAAGTAGATTGGGCAAACAGGCATTTATTCAAACACAGAACATTGATATATGGGCTAATTTCGCAGGTGTCAACTAATTCAGCGCGGTTCCCTTAAAGGACCACTATAGGCACCCAGACCACTTCAGCTTAATGAGGTGGTCTGGGTGCCTGGTCCATCTAGGGTTAACCCTTTTTTCTATAAACATAGCAGTTTCAGAGAAACTGCTATGTTTATGTTAGGGTTAATCCAGCCTCTAGCGGCTGTCTCATTGACAGCCGCTAGAGGGCTTCCGCGTTTCTCACTGTGAAAATCACAGTGAGCAGACGCCAGCGTCCATAGGAAAGCATTGTGAATGCTTTCCTATGGACTGGCTGAATGCGCGCGCAGCTCCTGCCGCGCACGCACATTCAGCCAAAGAGGAGGAGAAGAGGGAGGAGAGGAGGAGGAGAGTTCCCCGCCCGGCGCTGGAGAAAGAGGTAAATTTAACCCCTTCCTCCCCCCAGAGCCCGGCGGGAGGCGGACCCTGAGGGTGGGGGCATCCTCAGGGCACTATAGTGCCAGGAAAACGAGTATGTTTTCCTGGCACTATAGTGGTCCTTTAAGGGTAATCTGAGTTCAGATCATTTAGGAATGCAAATATATAGATCCTTCAGGGAGAAACAGTAAATCTATCTTGCAGTCAAGAGGAACAAAACATATTTATTTTCTGCAGAACGTCCTAGTCTCAGGTAGAGTAACAGGACACCTGCTACTTCAGTAGGTTTGGGATTCCAAATCCAGGCAAAATTCCAGAGTTATGTACCATCCCTGCTATCAGTTTCTAAATTTTGACAGACACAGTCTATTCTCTTTAGTATGTCCTAACAATGAGTTTAAAAGAGAAACCTAAGCACCATAACCACTATTTTTATATTGTTATAGTGCTCATAGTCTGTACTTACCTACCACCAGTATGTGTCAAATCATTTCGAATCATTTTCAAGCAATATTATACAAATTATAGGTCTCTATGACGCCTGCAGTCTGGCCCTTTACAGACATTTTGCTAATGAGGAAATTAAATATTTGCTGTATTAATTTTGCCCTTATTTGGACGGCAAAGAAACGCTGATGCCCTCAACCTATCACTCCCATCCATTTATGGAATAAAGTAATATTACTTGTGCTGAAGTATAACTTCAACATTAACTGTATGACAAGTGAGAGGCACAAGCAACAGATGCCTAAGGGACCCTGGTTTTGGTCAAACCATTTAAAACTGCCTTGACAAACAATAGTGGGATAGTGCCCACAATTAGTGCGATGATCACTAGAAGAAACTAGTGGATTCATTTCAAAAGCAAAATCCATTATTTTATGTTAGGTGGTTTAGTGAATCTTCATAAGTGAAACAGCTGGTTTAATATAGAGTTCTGCAGGCTCTTTGTTGCATGTAGGTGTATCAATCTCTCTATGCGCTGCACTTAGAATCATGAGTAATCCCAACAGTCCAGATCTGTGGGATTTAGGTTTTGTTTGAAGTACTCTGTACACACCTTTAAGAAATTGGTGTCCTTATCTTTTTTATCGCTGATAATGCATCTTCTCAGTTTTTGTCGCTATTCCAAAAGCAGTCACTGGCTTGGACTCACCATTTACCAAACCCTGATAACACTTTCTCTTCTGAAAAGATCTGAATGGGGGATTAATGAGGAAATATGCGGGTAAAGGATTTGAAAAGACGACCTGGTGTAGTCGGTCAGCTTTCTTCATCCTCCTGTGGCATCTGCAAGGTATCATCAGAGTCAAGAATTAATCTCTCATGTCCAGACAGTGTACACAGCCACCAGCATGATAGTGTAATCTACATTTCACTAATTTGCAATAGGTGTGAGCTGAAGAGGTTTTCCATAGGTAATTTATGAAATCAATGCATGTTGCTTCACACTCACAATGTACTCAGAGGGCATCTGTGTGTTTAATGAAAATGCTGCAATGCAATTAAAAGAATTTAATGTCACACCAGTCAAACACTGCATGGAATGATTTTCAGGGGAAAATGAGTCCGTGTTAGATTACAACTAAAAGGAACACTATGGTTACAGAAATACAAACATGTATTTCTTTCACTATTGCTGTGGAAAAATAATGTAAGTGTTCAGCCCCCCTGTCAGTAAAGTAAAAGGGGATTTTACTCACCTTTTTCCAGCACCGCACGGGTCTCCTCCAGGCTGGCTCTGCCCCCTGGCTGAGATCATCAAATTTGACAATCTCAGCAAATCCAAATGCTTACCTAGAGGAAAGCATTGGGAGATTTTTACGCATGTGTGGCAAAACACAGCCCTGGCCAATCAGCATCTCCTCATAGAGTTGCATTGCATCAATGCATCTCTATGAGGAAAGTTCAGTGCATCCATGCACATTGTGCAGCACTGACTCAGGAAGCACCTCTGGTGGCCATCTGAGTGCCTGCCACTAGATGTGCTACTAGGCAGCAATGTCAACACTGCCTTTTTTATGAAAAGGTAGCATTTACATTGAAAAGCCTGCAGGGACATGCCATACTCACCAGAACAACTACATTAAGCTGTATTGGTTCTGGTGACTATGGTGTCTCTTTAAATTGACTAGTCCACACAATCCATCACAAACAAAGGTTTTATGGTGAAACTTGCAATTGTGATCAAACCTAATACGGGTGCATATAACTATAGCATAAAAACACTTTTTATTTTAATATGTTAATATCCACAATATATTTTCAAGAGAGCTGCTGGTGATTTTTTTCTCCCAGACCATCTCCTTTTCTTTTGTTTATTCCTACCACTATATAGATCCGTATGTCTGAGATGAAAAGAGTTAAACTATCCACACTCTATCACTCCATGCAATCTTATTTCTATCGTAATAAATGGCGATTTAGTGGAAAAGTACTGACCTGTACTCGGTTAAAGGCAGCTCAGATTTAATGCTGATGGAAAAGAAATGAGTTAGTGAATCAGTGAAAATCTATGAAAGTATAAGCATTTTCTTCCTTGTAATTGTAGGCTGTGCAGAGCAATAAGATTTAACTTTAGATTAGTTGGGCATATGACCATTTCATTACCCAGACTCGGAATGAGGAACATTATCACATGTTGTATGTAAATGAACAGCTTTTGCATTGTTTTAAAAAGTCAGTTCTTTCTTACCTCCCCAACAAACATTTCTTTATTTAATTATTTAACATATACTGCAATATTAGTCTGGGTTAAAGTACATAATAGTAAACATACATAATTCATGCACACTATGCTGTACAGCGAATTTAATTCCTTGCGTATGTCGAACTATAATAACTCATTGTATTAAAGGTACACTTTAAACTGTAGTTAATCCCTTTTAATGCATTAGATAAAATATACTTGGAAACGAGAGAAATCTCAATGTATGCTTCCTGGTAAAATATTTTATAACTAAATAAATTAAAATTTGAGGTTGTTGCATTGAAGGCAAATCTCCAGTTTAGCTACAAACCTCACCAAACCATTAGGCGGTACAGCCAATTGCCCTGTTTCCCTAGCAATATGAAAGTGCTGAGCATCTCTATTAAGGTACTGAGTTGCAACGTCTACAAGCTTCTGCAGTACACCATCTCACGATGATAGAACAAAACATAATTCAGTTATTAAAACGTATTATCTTGTGTTGGTACTGTTCCTAGGTGGTCACCAGACCTCAACTGCCATGGACTTCAAGTTCTATCGAGATCTTAACACGCCCCAAGTACTTGGGGACACTCAATGAGAGACCATACAAAGGTGTCAATTCGGAAAATGTCCAATGTTTATTAAACAGAATTTATAGGGTAAAATCGCAATAAAGGTATGTCTAGGGGAGTATCATTAATTACCAATCAAATTATTTATTTATTTCTAAAATATTTTACCAGGATGGATACATTGAGATTTCTCTCATTTTCAAGTATGTCCTGGGTTCACAAAACATTGCATTGTTACAATAGGGTACAATATTACAAAAATACAATATATACACACACACACACATATATATATATATATATACACACATACATACACACATATATACATTTAATACATAACAGGTAATAAATATATTCAACCATGACAGGTGCATTCTGTGCTGAGGTATATTGCCATAGATCTCTTAAAAAGATTTTAGATTGAATGAAGATTTGACTGTGTCCTGGGGGTTATTCCATAATTGAGGTGCTCTGTAGGAAAAGGAGGATCGAGCCACTTTATTTTTGTATTGCGGTATGCTAAATAGTACTGGATCGGAGGTTACATAGTTACATAGTTACATAGTTACATAGCTGAAAAGAGACTTGCGTCCATCAAGTTCAGCCTTCCTCAGAAATGTTGTTGCTGTTGATCCAAAAGAAGGCAAAAAACCTGGTCTGAAGCACTTCCAATTTTGCCACAAACTAGGAAAAATTCCTTCTTGACCCCAAAATAGCAGTCAGATGTCTCCTTGGATCAATCAGCTATTACCCCACTAATTAGAAATTATATCCCTGTATGTTATGTTTTTGTAAGTATTTATCCAATTTCAGTTTAAACATCTGTATGGACTCTGACAAAACCACCTCTTCAGGCAGAGAATTCCATATCCTTATTGTTCTTACTGTAAAAAAACCTTTTCTTTGCCTTAGATGAAATCTCCTTTCTTCCAGCCTAAATGTGTGACCTCGTGTCCTATGTATAACCCTGTTTATGAATAGATTTCCAGATAAAGGTTTGTACTGGCCCCGAATATATTTGTATAAAGTTATCATATCCCCTCTCAGGCGCCGTTTTTCCAAACTAAACAGATTTAATTTTTGTAACCTTTCTTCATAACTAAAATGCTCCATTCCTTTTATCAATTTTGTAGCTCGTCTCTGGACCCTCTCCAGTGCCATGATATCCTTCTTTAGAACAGGCGCCCAAAATTGCACAGCATATTCAAGGTGTGGTCTTACTAGCGATTTATAAAGAGGCAAAATTATATTTTCATCCCGAGAATTTATGCCCCTATTAATACATGACAAAATCTTACTGGCCTTAGCAACTGCAGATTGACATTGCATATTGCTGCCTAATTTGTTGTCTATAGCAATGCCCAAATCCTTCTCGTGTGTGGTTATCCCTAATTTACTACCATTTAGTGTGTAAGTTGCTTGTGCATTCTTAACCCCGAAGTGCATAGGAGTTGGGAACAGCCGGGGAGAGCATTCTACTCAGGTAGGGTGGGAGCTTCCCAGAAATGCTCTTATGCACAAGGATGGAAAGATGAAGAGTGCGTTGGGATGCCAGCGATAGACAGTTTAGCTCTTTTAACATGTCACAGTGGTGGGTAAAATAATTACATTCTAGTACAAAGCGGCAGAATTAATTATATAAAGTATTAAGTTTATTAAGGTGGGTTTGCGGTGCGGGTGCATACACTACATCCCCATAATCAATGACCGGCATTAGCATTTGTTGCACTATCTGTTTCCTTAGTGTAGGGCTTAGGCAGGATTTGTTTCTGTACAGGGCAAGTTTTGAAGAGATTTTTTCAATGTGAAGGCTAAAGGATAGATTGGGGTCTAGCAACATACCTAGATATTTAAAAGAGCAGACTGTTGTCAGTGTTCTATTTGAATTTGTTCTGATACACAGTTATTGATGTTGTAGTCAACGTACTTTAGGTACAGTTCCAAAGATCATTGTAACAGTTTTGTCAGTGTTTAGGAAGAGTTTGTTATCTGCTATCCACTTTTCTACCTCTGTGAATTGGTTTTGGAGCACAGCCTTAAGCTCCAGTAGCTTGGGTTTACTAGCGTAGATTACAGTGTCGTCTCCATACATGTGTACAGTTGAGAATTTGCAGACGTTAGGCAGATCATTTATAAATAATGTGAATAGCAGTGGGCCGAGTATGGAGCCTTGGGGAACACCACACGTGACTGGAAGAGGGAGGGAAGCGCTATCAGAAATGGCCACATATTGCAATTGGTCTGAAACATACGATCAAAACCAGGTTAGTGGACGATCACCAATGCATACGTTTTTACGTTTTTGCAAAAGAATGCCATGGTCTACTGTGTCAAAGGCTTTGACAAAATCAAGGAAAAAAGCTCCAGTTAAGTCTCCTTGTTCCATGCCAATTTGGATGTCATTGCAAACCTTTAAGAGGGCAGTCAAAGTTGAGTGTTTTGGACAAAAGCCTGATTGATCATGGGTCAGATAATTTGATTGTTGATAATATTCATATAGTTGCGTGTGGATACATTTTTCCAAGATTTTTGACAATACTGGGAGTAATGATATCGGGCGATAGTTAGATACCAAAGTACTGTCACCACCTTTTGGATAGGTACAACTTTTGCAGTCTTCCAAAGTTTGTGTATGTATCCTGACACCAGGAATTCATTGATAAGGGTAGTGAAAGGTTTAGCAATTGCTGGCGCACTGAGCTTCAGCAACATTGCTGGGATTTGATCTGGTTCACACTGTTTTTTTCATTTTTAAAT